GAGGGAGGGAGACAGAGAGGGAGGGAGACAGAGAGGGAGGGAGACAGAGAGAGAGAGAGAGAGAGAGAGAGAGAGAGAGAGAGAGAGAGAGAGAGAGAAGAGACAGACAGAGAGAACCATTTTAATTTTAATGGTATCCTTAAACTTCTCACAATAATTTGACTTTATTACACTTTAGTCATGGCTTTATTTGAGTCTAGACTGGTGGTTCTCAACCTGTGGGTCGAGATCCCTTTGTGGGGTTGAACAACCCTTTCACAGGGGTGGCATATCAGATATCCTGCATATCCATTATGATTCATAACAGTAGCAAAATTACAATTATGAAGTAGCAATGAAAATAATTTAATGATTGGAGGAGTCACCACCATGAGGAACTGTATTAAATGGTCCCAGCAGCCAGGCATTGGTGGAGCACACCTTTAATCTCAGCACTTGGGAGGCAGAGGCAGGCAGATCTCTGAGTCTGAGGCCATTCTGGTCTACCAAGTAACTTTCAGGACAGCCAGAGCTACACAGAGAAACCAAAAAAAGGGAGCTGAAGTATTAGAAATGTTGAGAACCACACTTCTAGATTTTTTTTTAAATTTTAAATTATTTATTTATTTTAATTACACTCATGATATTCATTAATTACACTCATGATATTAATTACATTTGTGGTATTCATTGACCACATTCGCAGTACTCATTCAATAATTATATTTATGATATTAATTAATTGTATTGATATATTACATTCATGATATTATGTCCTGATACTACTGTCCATTTGTGGGACTTTTCCATCACACAAAACAGAGATTCTGTACTTAGGAAATCATTGCTCTATATTCCTTTCTTCTCCATCTTGAGATAATGTCTGATCTTTCTATCTCTATAAATTTGTATATTCTATAGTAATACAATTCTATAGTATTTGTCCTCTTTTGAATGTAAAAGCATTTTATGTACAACTTCAGGAGAAATAATATACAGCCTAAGTAAAACATAGCTCTCTGAACAGATGAAGATAGGTTTCTTCTGTATCCCAGGATCTAATCAATATTTATATGTATAATTCAGCTATCATTTGGCTTAAAAGGGCTTATTGGGAAATGCTACCAATTTTTACTATTTTCTACAGAGAAAATATTTTACTGTTTAAAATAACCATGGACTTTTGAATTATAACCTGTTTTTATGTTCAAGGTTCTCGAAAATTTTTAGCATTTTGGAAATAGCATTTGAAAATATTGAGACTCCTGGTTCCCCAGCCCCAAGTGGCCATTCCCAAACACAAACACTGTGAACAACACTGAATGGACTCAGCGGGTTGTATATAGTTAATGATTTGAAAGAAAATGGCCCCCAATGGGAATGGCACTATTAGGTGTGGCTTTGTTGGAGTAGGTGTGGTCTTGTTGAGGAAGTGTGTCATGGGGAGGTGGACTTTGAGATTTAATATATACTCAAGCCACACCCAGTGTTGAAGTGGGACACCGATTCAATGGGCCAGGTAAAATACATTAGGGAAATGAAATCAATAAGATACACCCACAACACAGAACAAAGTAGACACTGCTGCTGACCCAGCTGTCCGTGTCCTGCCATTCAGAGGGCGATGGGAACCAACCACAAGCCACACTTCTCTGCCGCTTGCTCCTGCTCCAACCACCCAGTATAGAGCATAGGACCCCACTCCTCTGTTCTTATTCAGTCACATGCTCAGAGAAGACCACTCCCCATAGGGCCAGTCACCCTACTACCATTGGCTGGTTGGATCAAATTCCCACAACACAGTGTCTCAGTTTACTGCCTGTTGCCTGCAAGATGTAGAACCCTCAGCTCCTCTAGCACCGTGCCTGCCTGCACGCTGCCAATGCCCTGCCATGATGATAATGGGCTAAACTTCTGAACTGTAAGCCAGACCCAATTAAATGCTTTCCTTTGTAAGAGTTGCTGTGGTCATGGTGTCTCTTCACAGCAATAGAAACCCTAAGACAATATACATAAGTATACATACATATAACTATTATTATCTATAATATTAAAAAAGAGGTCATGAATTTGAGATCTGGCCACAGGAAGAGTTGGAGTGGAGAGAAGGCAGGGTAGAAATAATGTAAATATAGTATCCTTTCATAAAATCCTAAAGAAAATATGAAAAAAATATAATTTGGATAATGAAAAGGAAGTAAGGGATAGAGATTGAAAGATTGGGTTAACTTTTATTTTTACTTGATATAAAGAAATGGATATACATCATATACAACCTGAGACACCAGTGTAACAAATTCCCCTTAATTCCCTTGCAATTACACACATATTTGTAGCCACTGTCTTTCATGTAAAATCAATCTACTTCCGTGTATGTGTGCGTGCGCGCGCGCGCATGTTGAGTATATAAATGCAAGAATTAGTTATTTTTCTTTAAAGCAAGTCCAGAAGGTACTCTCATGGCTGAATGTGGATCTTTCTGTAACGCAGTGGTTCTCAAACTCTGCCACACATTGCAAACAACACCACACATTACAATCATCCTGGATCTGCGAACACTTCTGGTGCCTGGGGCTCCACCCCGTCCCCAAAGAGCTTGTTTCTGTGGTGATATTGTGTTCCCCAAAATATTGTGCACCATAATAAACTTATCTAGGGTCAGAAAACAGAACAGCCACTAGATATAGAGGCCAGAAAATGGTGGCGCGCACACCTTTAATCCTAGCATTCAGGAGTCAGAGATGGGTCTGGATCTGTGTGAGTTCAACTGGAAACAGCCAGGTATGGTGACACACGCCTTTAATCCCAGGAAGTGATGGCAGGAAGCAGAAAGATATATAAAGGCACGAGGAACCAGGAACTAGAAGCTTTTGGCCTAGTTCAGCTGTTTTGAGCAGCAGTTCAGCTGAGATCCATTTAGATGAGAACTCGGAGGCTTCCAGTCCTAGGAAACAGGATCAGCTGAGGAACTGGCAAGGTGAGGAAGCTGTGGCTTGCTCTACTTCTCTCATCTTCCAGCATTCACCTCAATATCTGGCTCTGGGTTTGTTTTTATTAATAAGACTATTTAAGATTCATGCTACATGTTGCTGTAACTGGTTTGAACAGAACCTGAGAATCAGCTTGTTCAAACCGCCCTAGATGATTCTCATGTGCACCCAGGGTCGACAATTTATTCTGTAATGTGTGGAAGATAAAGCCATGCATGTTTACATAATATTGGTGCTAGTTTGAGGCCAAGCTGTCTGACTAGTATTTGTAAACCTGGCTTTCTATGTCTAGATTTGGGTGGTAGTTTGGCAGTAGAAGTAGATACTGCAGATGACTAATATTACTCCCACAGTTTGCCCCCTGAGCAGCAAACTGCTTTGGGTTCAGGACTGTGTGGGAGGTGAATGGGGTCACCTTACTTTAAACAGCTTCTGCTCAGAGGATGATGGTATGTCATGCAGTAGTTGCTGCCTGGAACTGTCAGGTTCCCTGGGAAAGCATTATATTCAGGCGCTGAGACTTCAGAGACGGGCATCATTTGTTTGAGGGCTTTAGGATGCCTGGCAGCCACAGGGCCTGCTCATGGCCCTGGCATCTGGGCCTCCTTCAGGTCTCAGAGCTAAAGGAAGCCTTCAGAGACTTCAGATTTAGAAGTGCTCGCAGTTGAATTCCTGGGAATTTGGTTAACAAGAAAGGGGGGAAGTCTGAGTTCTATGAGGCTATTTTCCTTTTAGATTGAATATTGACTTGGTTAGCAAGGTGGCAGAAGTTGATATCTTTCCTTTTCTTTTCACAAAGTCCTCTGATTTTAGTTAAAATTTGGAAGAATTTTATTTCAGAGACGATATATTATAATTTCAAGTCTGGATTTAGGAAGAAGTTCATGAAAGGAGAGTTTACCTTCTTTGAAATGCCACAGGCTTACTGTTTCATACCCAGGGTGCTGCTCAGCTGTGCTGAGATTCACAGTGAATGCTCAGCCCGCATTCAGAGGAGCTCCCGGGGGCAGCAGGAGTTTCCCACAGTGACATGGTGGGAGCCCTGGCTGCCCCTTGCTCTTCTTACTTACATGGCTTCCTTTTCATCACCCGTGTAGTCTGAATGGCTTACCCTTTGGATTATTTTTTTTTTTTTGATACAGCAGTTAAAGACAGATTCTCATGCAGCTTATAGTGTTGTATGGAAGACAGAACATAACTAATAAACACTGGGAACTGTCAGATAATGATGGGTGCTATGGAGAATATTAAACAGGGAAGAGCTGGTGGGTAGCATGAGAAGATGATCCTGAAATCATTTGATGCCGGATGGACAGAGGAGCTGCTCATGAGAACGCCCACAGCAACAATGCATAAGGAATACCTTCCAAGGTGGCAGTCAACTTAGCCGTGTTTATGATGCTAATGGGAGAAAAATAAATCCCAGTAGGCTGGGAGAGTGATGAGGAGTAGCAGGAGTAAGAGTAAAGCAGAAGGACTCAGTTATAGAGGGCTTTGGAGGCCATAACAGAGTTCAGAGTTTGCTATAATTTCAAAGGAAAGCCTTTGAGCCCAGAGGATTTAAATTTCCTTTGCTGAGTT